CTGCTGGTTTAGAGTCACATCTAGTCCAGAGTTAGTTGCTTTCTAGGTAGCTTCATATTTAGCATAGGGACGGTGATCGTTACTGTCCAGACAACCAGCCAAGCCATATGACACATGACTCCCTGTAAAGCCACAGAATCTCATTTTTACCCTTTTGTTCAAGATAAACAAACACAAGATAAACAGACATAACATGTAAATAAGTAAATAGTTGCTGTTAGGCAGAACTTGTTACCTTCAGACAGAGCCAGACTAACTATTACCCCCGATTTCCAGTTTTAATACTAACTTAGGTTAACGAGATCTTCTCAAAACACAATGAGTGTATTTTCCAAAATGTCAACTGTTCCAGTAAGGATTTGGTTGAGCAAGGCAGTAAGGGCAAGGAGGTGACTGTGGACTCAATTTACACAACTGCTTGCTGTCTGTGTGGCATGCAGTAAGGACAGCAGTTCCCTGAATCACCACCAGTCATCTAAGGTTTACAATCCAGGATGAACGGGGTATAAAAACCACAAAAAAAAAATTGATGTGAAATAGCCAGAGTTACAAACACCATCGTGTCAACTGAAACTACTCTAATTAACAGTAGCAAAAGACAAGCACAGAGGAAGCAAAAAAGCAAACAAGGAAAACAGGAGGTAAGAAAGAAATGATAGAAAGCACATTAGAATGAGTTACCTGACTTTTCTTTTTTAAAGGGCATGAAGAAACACAGCTCAGTCCATCACATTTATACAGAGCACAGGAGCAGCAACATGGAATTAAAATTACAGAAGAGCAAGAATGCTGATAAGTGCTAATTTGATTCCCTGGGATCTGGGAGGAAGTTTTGAAAAGACAGCTGCGAGGGTAGGCTCCATTAACTGCCAAAAGAAGAGACTCCCGGGGGATTATTACTCTTGCCGCCAGGTGAAGCACACTCCACATACAAAAACTGATGCTTTTCCAAAACTGTCTCCTTGCTATTGATTTTGAGAATTGAGCCAGGTTATTTAATTAGAGACCATGTTTTAGGGCATAAAAACATATAGTCTTTCTTTAACCTCTACATATTAAGGCTTTTAACCTACCACAAGCTATATTCTCATAAAGAAGTCAGATACTGAGCAGCAGAGCATAAAAACAATGAGAGAATAAAATTGAGAGAGAAGAGAATTTTTTCCATTTGGGTAATAAAAGCTAAAGAAGGCTTAAAACTGTATAATTTGCATAATTTATACACATTTTAATGTTGTAATATTGCTATTTTGAACCACTGGTAACCTATACCATGTTAGCCAGTAAAGCTGAAGATCCAGGGCTGTAAATCTAGTGATGATTCAGGATAAGATGAATGTTGATAGCTATTGACTCACCCCGCCATAAATAACTGAAGTGACAAACAGGTCAGAGTGCTTGAAGGCAACAACTCTCAGTCACATCTCTGTGGGTATAATAACTACTGTGATTTCTGTTCCCTCTCTCTCGGTTCCTAACTAATACCTCAAATTGCCATTTCTTTCTTTTATTCATCCATCACTATCCAAAGAAAGGTTGTTTACTGAAGGCTTCCTCAGGCCCTTTCCTGTTGTCTGGCTCTGCTTATGTAAACCAGACAGCCCCGGCTGACTGGGCACACCAGCTCAAACTATAATAGGCCCTGATTCCATTCTCAAAAGCTTTTCATCAGCTCCTGTTGTTTGAGAACTTATGTTCTTTCTCTAGACATGTCAAATCAAAGATATTCTTACATGGTCTTACAAAATTGTCCTTGCACGCGATGTCTTGTATCTTCACCCAGCCTGACATGCTACATTGGTATTCTTGTTTCCTTGTTATTTCTTTTGAACCGTCATGATTTCCTTGAAATGATCATTTCTGAGCACAGCAATTCCCCAGCTCTAGCTTTTAACAGCAGCTTTACCTTCACAGCCTACTGCTCAGTCCTAAAACCACATTTGTCAAAGAACTTGAAAGAAACGACACAGGAAGGAAGGGAACATCAGCTGCCTGCCTGCATGTGCAGTAGCATACAAACTAAATTCAGTTGTTGTGCAGTCGAAAAGTAGCAGGCGAAGCACAAACTAGGCAATGGGAATGCTGCTTTCAAAAAGGAGAGCAACCTTGGAACTCTGTGGAACTGGGAGGGAACGGATTTTGGCCATTGTGTGCCTGAAAAAACAAACAGTTATCCCATGTCTGGACAAGAAAGAATCACAATGCAGCACCAGTCTGAAACACACAGTAAACACAGTCCAGTCCAAGTCAGCTGGTGGGAACCCCATATCAATTATTATCCCAGTGCAGATGGGTGGTGCTAGAACGAGTAAAGCTTACAGTAAAATGTGAAAAATTAGTTGTGAGATTCAGCGTGGTGGATCGATGACTGGTAATGAATGCAGTGTGGTTCATTTTAAAGTTACAAGGGCTTTTGAAGTTTCATTATACTCTCTCTAATTCACAGGAAATAGGACTGTCTCCACAAGCACAAGCATAAACATGATTCAGGTGAGTGGGCAGCGAAAATGGCCCGACAAACAAAACCCACTTTGCACTTTGTCCCTGTCTATGGAAGATGATTTTATAGGCCTGGGAACACATTTATATTTTTTTATCTAAGTGCTACCATGACCAGAAAGTGGCCTGGTTTTCAAAGAGCAGGCATTGAACATGGCATTGCTAATCAGAGGCTGGTGTG